TAAGTGTTGTTTTTTTTCTGTGAACATTTAAATCAAACTAAAACATGAACATTGAATTTAAACAAACATTTCAATGTAATATACTTGAAAACGAAATAATTGATTTCTAAGCTTTTTTCAGATTTTTATTTAACCCTATTAAAATTGCCAGAAAACAAAAACGATTTATTCGCTTTTATTTCATATTTTTAAGCATACCTTTGAATGTAAGGCTTCGATTTCGTTAGTTAGGAATATTTCACTTGTAGCTGTTTTTTCTTTTAAATCTGTTATCAAAGCATTTTGGCTGGCGAATTGTACATCAAAATTAACATGTGTTTTTTGGATAGAATCGTCAATTAATTTTGACAGGTTCGCGATGTTTGCGTTTGTTTGTGTTTCAATTTCTGTTTTCTGCTTCTTAAGTAATTTGCTCTGTTTAACTTTTTGTCTTGCTAACGACTTCTCAATTTCTGTAATCTTGTTGCATAAATCAGTCCATTTTATTGAAAGTTTACTGACGCTTTTTTCAACCGCTTCAAGTTTTTGTAAAACGTTGGATGATTCAGCTAAAGAAAAAAATGATCCATCAGATTAACCTGGTTCAACATAAATTACAGTTAAATAATTAAAAGTCCATACATGAAACTGATGAAATGTACCTAACAATTTTAAGAATTACGCTATTGTTCTATATATTTATATAACTATATATCTGTATATCTATGTTACAAATTATACATCTATATATATACATGTATATATACATGTATATATATACGTCTATAAACGTCTATATATACATCAATATATCTATATCTATATATCAATATATCAATATATCTATATATCCATATATCCATATATCCATATATCCATATATCCATATATCCATTTATCCATATATCCATATATCCATATATCCATATATCCATATATCCATATATCCATATATCCATATATCCATATATCCATATATCCATATATCCATATATCCATATATCCATATAACCATATATCCATATATCCATATATCCATATATCCATATATCCATATATCCATGTATCCATATATCCATATATCCATATATCCATATATCCATATATCCATATGTCCATATATCCATATGTCCATATATCCATATATCCATATATCCATATATCCATATATCCATATATCCATATATCCATATATCCATATATCCATATATCCATATATCCATATATCCATATATCCATATATTCATATATCCAAATATCCATATGTCCATATGTCCATATGTCCATATATCCAAATATCCATATGTCCATATGTCCATATATCCATTATCCATATATCCATATATCCATATATTGATGTATCAATCTATCCATGTATCCATGTATCCATGTATCCATATATCCATGTATCCATGTATCCATGTATCCATGTATCCATATATCCATATATCCATATATCCATATATCCATATATCCATATATCCATATATCCATATATCCATTTATCCATTTATCCATTTATCCATATATCCATATATCCATATATTCATATATCCATAATCCATATATCCATATATTCATACATCCATATATCCATATATCTATATATCCATATGTCCATATATCCATATATCCATATATCCATTTATCCATATATCCATATATCCATATATCCATATATCCATTTATCCATTTATCCATTTATCCATATATCCATATATCCATATATTCATATATCCATATTCCATATATCCATATATTCATACATCCATATATCCATATATCTATATATCCATATGTCCATATATCCATATATCCATATATCTATATATCCATTTATCCATATATCCATATATCCATATATCTATATATCCATATATCTATATATCTATATCTATAATGTGTATGTGCGTGTGCGTAGTTATTTTTATGGTCAAAAACTTCACATAGATTACCTTCTGTTTTAACACTGCTGTTTCCTGTATGTGTTGCATAAATAGTCCCATAGTGCGTATCTCTAGTTGTTTTGTCGAGTTTGTCTGCATTTGATGTCATTTTCAAATAAAATATATAGATATATAATAATGAGTAATTATACAAACGCTTTTTATTGAAACTTTTTATGATTTTTATTATTAATATAAAGAAATTTTTTCCCTTTTTCGTGCACAATTATATTATATTTTAAAGTGTATTATTCAAATCCTTTTGCAAGATTTTTTTTTTCTCTGTCTGTCAGAATAGTTCAAAACTGCCATCAAAATTTCGAGCTCTTCTAACTGACAGATTTGTTTCAAACTTGGCACATGGGTGATGACCCAATAACCATGCAATCTGACATCAGTTTGACGGAAGAATACAAAAGACAAAAGCACGATAGAGGAAGTAAGTTAAAATATACGTTGTAACATAAAGCAAACAGTTCTATTGATGTATACAATGAAGTTTAATCCTGCAACATTAATTTTATTACGTTTTTCAATGCTAAAACAGAACGGACCATAATGGTAACAAAAATATCATCCTTAACTGCAAAACATACTTCCGCAGCTTTACATTTTGTTGTTAAATGTATGTTGTTTATTTCATTAATAAAAGCCAGAGACATTCATGTCAGGTGGATTATGAAAATTGATTAATTAATCATTAATTTAATATTAATTTATTATTAAAGAAAAAACATTACCTGACATGTCCAGAAATGTTGAAGTAAAAACATGTGTGGCAAAGTTAAGATGGTTACATAGTTCATGAAAATCTTTATTATTTGGATCATTTGTGTTCTGTTCCCAATTGTTTACTTCTAACTCAATCTGAAAATAAACTGCAGCTTAATGTAAACTCATTGATTTTCAGTACATTATCAATAATTTAAAAAAAAATTGAAATTGAAATTCATTACCTTTTTAGAATAGTCTGTGAAAAAACTTAAAAATGTTTCTTTTTCATATTCGAAATATTGAAATAAATTCTGTACAATGTTATTTTGTTGTTCTTTGCGAGTTTGAATTGGCAATGCCATTTATAAAACCAAAGTAAATTTTTGAAGAAGCTTTAACTTATATAGGGTTCCTAATTTAAATGCAACTTCACTGATTGTCTTGATTAAAGTGAAAATTAACCAAATTCAGGTGTATTTCCGGTAAAATTGTCAAGGTACTCATGACGTAAACCTAGTCAACAGCATCATTCAGTCTTTGGAAATTCAAAAAATGATTTTAAAAATCCCTAGTGGTTAAATTCTGTCACTTGCGTGTCAGTTGTGTCTACTTTTAGCATCTTTAGTTTTCTTGGAACGAAATTCAATACCTCAGTCTACCAATCAATATTGATTATTGATTATATTGCAGAAAGGCTATAGGTCGATTCGTCAAAGCGTTGTTTTACAAAACGACTATGATTTTAAAATGTAATTGTTACATCGATTATTTTGCTTTCAACCTATACCGGATGGATCAATTTTGCGGCCGTGCACATACAATATACATTGTACGGATTAGTCGGATGGTATAGCAAACAACTGCTGACATGCAAGTCTTGAGTTCGAACACCGTGTGCATGAGCCTGGCAGCTCTGATGGGTACCTGATTCCCTTAAAGGAAGTAAAGGCGGGTGGACATAGTTCTGTCTTGCGATTCCAACTTAAATCATCACATTCGCTCTTCTGTTCGACTTCAAAACTTACCAGATTAAAAAATAAACAAAAAATATCAACACTGAAAAAAAGATGATTTAGTTTTGATTTATTATTTCAATTGAATAAAAAAAACAAGGTTTATAAATTTCGAAACAATTTTCATATTTTAAAATAATGACCTAAATCATAAGCAGCGGCAAGATTTGAAATATTGCGCAGAGAATGTCGCGCAATAGTGTCTTAGAGGTTTTAAATAAATTACAAAGACGGAGAATTTTTACTTTATATCAACAAGAGCAAATAGTCTACAAAAACATTTAGAAACAACATTTTTGTTTTCAAACTAAGTCACTTGTTCAAGTTCTTAACAGTGATATGGGCATAGGTTTAACCAATTTTACCGGCGTTTATTTTAATATTCTGTTAACAAGTTCTGCGCTTTGATTCCGATTTCAGCCTGATTTTATTTAAAGATTTTTTTCATAGCTTTTATAGTAGGACAGTAGTTGTTTGATTTTGGAGTTGTCTCTCTCCGATCGCTTGTTGTACAAGCCTTGCATGCTTAATCTGTTAAGGAAGGGGAAGGATCCACGACGATCAGGCAAGCAGTTAAATAGTCTACCCCTCGACCAAGCTTTTTCATATCAAGTCAATCACTCAAGACAGTTACGAGAGGAACAACTATTGAAGTCATAAATATGAGGGAAAATTAAATAACTGAACTATTTTTAGTAACATCGTTGGCTTAACATCAAGGCTAGTAGTGCTTGTAAGTCTCGGTCTTTCTCGCTTAAAATTTTAAAATCTCGTAAACCAGAGAGAGATATTTATTATACGTTTTCGAATAAAATAATTGTTTTGAACAAGTTCAAATTGCTAATAAAAATCACGGCAAATTTTGTTTTAGGCCTCACATCAACATTTAAAAATCCCAAGAATAAGCAAAATGCAATACTTTTCTTTTTTTTTGCCATTAGAATCAAATTAAGTAGGCCTACTGGTAGGCCTAGGTTATTAATATTATATCAATATTGTACCCTACATATAGAACAACTTGTTACTGATTCATTACTTTAAAACAAATCATAATTTTACGTAGGCTTTATTTTTTTCTCTAAGCTATCCCTCATCTTGTAATTTATAACTGTCATTGTTCATCATTTTAAATAATTTAACAATAGCGGAAGTAACTTTTCAATTTATTTTTTCTATATGTTTAATAAAATATTCAAATTCGATTTGAAAATTACTAGCTGGCTAGAAGGTACAAAAACGAAAAGGTGGTAACCTACTTACAAACCCTACTAAAAGCCATATAGATAACAAGAGAATTTAGTACATATTAAAGCACCCAACTTCTCTAGATGTATGGTATCTCCAGCTTTTAACCAAACAAGCCATGATTTTGAAGAGGAACTGGCTTTCGCTGTACACTGAATGCTACTAAAATATTTACAAACATAGTTAGGGTAAACACTATGGCAAACTCACGCCTCTACGCTGTCCTCTCGTATTTGTTTGATTGTTAAATTAACGGTATAGATACCGTCAACAGGAATTTTAAACTTAATAGACCCATTTTCTTGTTTTTCTAGTAAGTTTTCTATGCTACAGTCCAGATTTTTAAAACAAAAGTCTTCATTGGGTACATGATCCTCTTTAGTTGCTGTAAAACCAAGCTTACACTTTTTTATTTGATGTTGCCCTAAATAGTAAACAGAAAACAACATTATTATTTTGATGTTGGTCTAAATAATAAGTATTATAGAAATTTGTTTTCATAAAAAACGTTTTAATAACAAGCTGTTATGTAATAACATAAAACTAAAAAGTAGAAAATAAATTAAAAACTACTATTTAAATAACTCGAGAAAGTCTCGAGTTCGAATCTGGGTGCAAGTCAGTAAAATATTCTCGAGTTCTCCCAGCTCTGATTATTACCTAACGCATGTTAAAGAAAAAACCAAGGCGGCTGGGCATAATGCGGATGACGGTATTCCTTTATATGCCAAGTTCTCTGAAGTAGATGAATTATAATTCATCTGACCCATGTGTCTTTGGCAACAAAGAGAAAACTGATGATAAAGCAAGAAGGCTTTTTTTTATGGAATAGATCATAAGGAAATTACTTTAGTGAAAAAAGATACACGTTGTGAGAGATTGTTATGCTCTTCAAATTTAAGAAACGTTTTTATTCTCGTGTATTGAAATTGTGTAATTATTGGTTGAAAGCATTTTATAAAGCATTTTATAAAGTCCACTTACGTCAAACAATTTTATGATTTTTTTTTACCTTACCAGCATCATGAGTTAAATTTCTTTTTTTCTAATATTGCATTTTACTGAGAATGATTTTAAATATTATTATTATTACAAATTACTTACAGACTCTGCTGAAATCCAAAAGTAAAGCATTTTCATTAGACGTGGTTCCAACCTAGGGAGAAAGGTAATTGGTTTAGGATTAATAACTGTGTTTCATTGAATTTCACACAAAAACATGTTTTGTAGTACAGGTATCACTAATTGTAAGAAAATAATAAAATGTGGCATTATTAAAATACTCATGTGACCTAGAAACATCTGCCTTAATTTATTTTAAAATTATTTTAATCTAAGGTAATAGTGCAAATATAACATTTCTAAAAATTTAAATCTTTAAATAAGGCAATCACTGCGTATGCATGTATATTTCCATAACATTAAAAACTTCATATAAAAAAATAGTAGTAAAGCCTAATTTGATTTCATCATTGAACTTTTTATACATAATAATTTAGATAGAAAAAATAATGATACAAAAACTGAATTTACCATTTGAACATTTTGTTCTAGATTGGATCTGTTTTTGTTAATATTTTGCATCAGTTTTTCGATTGGTGCCAATCTTTGCTGGAGAACTCTGCACATCACACCATACTAGGTTGCACATGCAAAAGATAAAAACTACACTTAGATTACTCAAAATTTGTAGCTTTCCATTTTTATATTTTATATATAGCATGTTATGCTAAGATTGAGATTTTTTTGGCCATTACAAACAGCTATCATTATCCACAAAATCAGTTATTAAGCTGCCCTATTTATTCAAATGTTGGATTTTTAGGTACGACAATTGTAACAACACGTATTAACAGTAATACCCTTTTGACTATACCTTGGGAATGTATAAATAATTACCTTTAAAACTGTGTTTTCCAATGCTTTATGTGAAGCATCATTATTTTTCTTTTCATTTTCTTGTAATGAAGCTATAATGCCAGAATGCACTTTCATTTCTCTCGACATCGATTTTATTTCATCAGCATTAGCTTGAATATCTTTTTCTATTTTAACTATTGTTTTCTCATTTTCTTTAACATCAAAAGACAGTTTCTGTAACTGCTTGTTTGAATTGGATTCTTTATCTTTTAACCTTTCAAATTCCTTAACAATATTCACCACACTATTTTCTTGTTCTATTATTTGTTTCGCAAGGTTTTTAAAATTCTGTTTTTGTTTTTTAGACAGGTTTTCTATTTTTAGGCTACAGTCAGATTCAAAGTTTTCTCTCCATTGTTTCATCTCTAATATTTCCTCTTCTGTGTTGGATACGGCAGAAATTTTTGCTTCAAGTTGATCTAGTCGTCTTGTCAGAAAAGTTAAAGTGTCTTCTGAATTAGCTGAAAAAGAAGTAAATTGAAAAAACGTTCATTTTCATAACCAAATATTGATAAAACTGATAATATAGATATCAGTTAAAATCTTGGTTTTGATTGTCGATTAAGGTGATGAATGGTAACCTACTTCTCTTATTAAAGCATATACTCGAATTGTCACTTCTAGCTTCCGCTGGCTTTAGTCAGAGTTTCTTCCAAGCAACTCTTCGAAGAAAGTATACAGCCCCCAACCCTCCTAACAAAATAAAATGTATATAGAAAATTTATACTTGTATTAGTTGCCTCCTCCAGAAATTGTTAGTGCCACCCCCAGAGAAAAAAGTCTGAAAGAAACACTGGTTTTAGTTATGCGTTATGTTTTCCTTGAATAGTATTTTGAGAGCTGTCTACACATTGATAGCATTTCTGGGAATTTAAACTAAATGTTAAACCTACCCATTATTCTAACACTGGAATCCTGTGGTGCAGTTTTTGCTGGTTTAATGTTTGTGCCAGTTTGTTCTTCAATGGGCAGTATAGCACCTTGTAGCTGATCTTTTATAAGATTGTTAAAAAAATTATTAATACAATGTTAATAATAATTGTTTAATAATAATTTATTTAAATATCTTTTTTTTAAATTTAAAAATTTGTTTAAATAATTGCAAAAAAAGAGTGAAATTTTAAGTGTACAATTTTTTTTATAAAAGAACACTGTATTTTCAATTATTTCTGACAATATATTTTCCTGTTATGGTTAAGCTTTGGTTTAGATGTCAGTTAGCAAATGCAATTGTAATAGAATCATTACACTGGTAAATAATGTTAATAGTTATGAAATGAACTTAAACTATTACCAGTGACCGCATCAATGTATTCAGCTAAAGTCATATTGGCTGTGGTGATCATAGCTGCAGCTTCTTTGTATGTCGTGGTTTGCTCAGTAGGTTTGTCCATCCATTCCTTAGTTTTTGTGATAATCTGCATGGATTAAATAAATGGCCTACAACTTACCATCTTGCTATCATGGCTATATTTAATACCTTAAACCAGGACGATATACTCTGGAGTAAAAACAGTGAACTCTGCTTCACTTTTTACAAGTCGTTTCTAGTCTAGTGGGTGGTTTTATTTTGTTATATTTTAAAAAAAAAACCTTTAAAGCATCTGCTGGATCATAGGTGTCGCCTCGACTCAATGTTATTTTTGTAGTTTCTGGTCAAAACACAATATATAACTATTATAACCAGAGTTTCTGTCAGGCATCCCCTTTCTCCCCCCCCCCCCCCTCCACCCGCCAAACGAAATATAATTTATATATTAAAATACATACTTATACCTTAGTCCACCCCATACCCACGGAGAAAAAATCTGGAATAAACACATGATAGAACATGACTTGTTTGATATTTTTCTCAGATTAATACACGCCTGAACAATTCAGTTTCAACAAGGCTCATATATCTAAAACAACTAAGTAGTTTTAATTTCACCAACCTGTGTTACAAAGGTATGAAGCAGATTCTGTAACTGATCATTGTTTTCCTCCAGACTCTCCAGAAGATTGTTTAAAACTTTCTTCGACTGGGTGCTGATTGACATCTTAAAAATATATATTGGATCTCTATAAGGCAGATCTTCTAGAGCACGAGATCAAACGTGTAAATTGTGGTATTCGTGGTATTTAAAAGTATTAATAATTTGAAAACTATAAGTTTAAGCACAATTTTTTAACAATCGGCTGTAGCTAATACACAGTAGGCTAACACAATGACACACATCGTACTACATCTAATCTCCCTTGTCCTAAAATAGGCAACTTTTAGTGGGCAACAAGTAGGGCTAGTACTACTACAAGTTTTATTTTATCAAGGCTTTTATGCTTAAGTAAAAATAAATTCAAAGAACCGAGTTAAGAGCAGTGTTTCTTCCAGACTTTTTTCTCCGGGGGGGCACTTGAAATTTTCGGGGGGGCGGTAGACTTTCTTCGGGGGGGCGGACACTGTTAAAAGTATATATTTTCTATATAAATTATATAAATTTCATTTCGTTCGGGGGGGGGGGGGGCGGTAAAAATTTCTCGGGGGGGGGCTTCGCCCCCCCGAAGAGATGCCTGGAAGAAACTCTGGTTAAGAGTGTGTAACACATATATTGGTAGCTAGTAGTTACTTATAAAGTAGTAAATGGTCTAATGCTTAAGTAGGTCTATATGACAGTTAATTCAGACTAAAGCTTTGTTTAGTATGGTAAAGGCCAGAGGTGTCGGAAGGATTAAGGAATAAGAGGAGTGGCAAGTCAAGAATAGGCTCCATATTTAACTGACAGTTATTTATCAGTCCCAGCTCATGAAATCCGACGCCAATGCATAGTTTCTTTCAGGCAGCTCTTCCGGGGCCGAGAGAGCCCTCCCCCCTCCTTCCCGGAAGAGAATCTACAGCCCCCCCCCCCCCCCCCCCCCGAACGAAATGGAATTGAAATATAAAACAAACACTTTTACCAGTGTCCCCCCACCCCCGGAAAATCTAGTCCTAGCCCTAGCCCTAACCATAATAACCCCAACCGTAACCGTAACCCTAGCCCTAACTTTAACCCTAACCCTAGCTGTAATGTCCTACTGGGCGGGGGGGGGGGGTAATTGTGACAGGAGGTAATTGATAGGGGGATAATTACTCCGGGGGGTAATATCGGGGGGAAATGTTCATCCCTAAACCTAAGGGGGGGGGTCTTATCCAGTTAAGCCCCGCCATTTTTTGCCGGCTCCAATTTAAAGCACTCACCCAACCTTGACCTATTTCTGATGTCTAGGAATTTGAATATTTAAATGAACTCCTTATCTGCCTCTGGTGCCAAGGTTTAGGGTAGTTTTAGGGTCAGTGTTGGGTTGCCGTTAAAAAAATTAAAGTACAAGTTTCATATCCTTTTTTTCAAATTCGTTTTTCGGGTGACGTGTGTTAACTTTTTGTCGGGGCATATCTGGTCAAGATCCTCTAATGGAAACTAACTGAAAATAGATTAACTTAAATACCGCTTTGGTAATTTATTATTACTTTCGTTTAATGTTCTTGAAAGTTTTCCTCCTCACGGGTCTTTGCCTTTTGTGTTGCCTCTCGCTGAGGTAGCGGTTAGCAAGCTAGACTGAAAGAACGCGAGGGGCGTTGTAAGGGTTTCTAACTCCCACAACTAGGCCGTTAAAAATACATTTTATTGAGGTTTGTTATTCCCTACCTTTCAGAATGTTGCGGAAATAAGGTAGGCATTAAAATAGTGAAATAAATGTGTAATTTCGGATATTAATTTAGTTACAACTGCATAAATATCTGGCGATATTTTTGTAAACAGAAACATTAAAACAATGGGTGTTTGATGCCAGTAAGTTAACCTAGGTCATATTAACATAGAGTTTCCATTCAGTAAATGCATACGAATCGGGCTTGACCTTTCATGGGCGTGTTTGTTTTACCTAACTTTTCTTAAATATGGGGGTCATCCATAAATAACGTCACCCTTTTTTTTAACGATTTGTACCTCCCCCCTCCCCTCCGTCACACATCGTCACAATAAGCCAGACCACCCCCCCATGAAATGACGTATCACCTCAGCCTACAACCCACTCAAAACTTCAGTTGAATTTTTCTTAAAATACGATATTTTCCATTAATATATCTGAACTATGTCAACATAGAATATTTTAATCAATACTATTACAATATATTAAAACAGTTTTCTAAAACGCGAAATAACGGCTAAAATTAGTTTTCTAACATAGTTTTCTGAACACCGCCCCCCCCCCCAGTGTTTCTTCCAGACTTTTTTCTCTTGAAATTTTCGGGGGGGGGGGGGGGGGGGGTGGGCGGTAGACTTTCTTCGGGGGGGGGGGGGAGCGGACACTGTTAAAAGTATATATTTTCTATATAAATTACATAAATTTCATTTCGTTCGGGGGAGGGGGGGGGGGCGGTAGAAATTTTTCGGGGGGGGGGGGGGGGGGGGGAAAGCCCCCCCCCCAAGAGATGCCTGGAAGGAACCCTGCCCCTCCCCCTCCCCTCTCCCTTCCCTTCACCACAAACCGACACAAAATTACGGACCACACTCCTTAATACAAGTGTGACGTCATTTATAGACGACACATATTATATATTAAATACTTTATTTTCAGTAATCAATATTGTAACCATTCTTACATATATATACATATATATATATATATATATATATATATATATATATATATATATATATATATATATATATATATATATATATATATATATATATATATATATTCTTATACTGTTTTTATGTGTGGAAACATAATATTGGGAAAAAGAAGATTGCTTTGACCTTTAAGTAAGCTTTACAAGGGAAGTAATCCTAATTAATTATCCAAAATTACGTTATAAGCTAAAACACTAAGTACTAGAACGAAAGTTTCACAATTTATTTCATTGAATTACTTTTAATTATAGTTCTAAAAATACAAAGATATTATTGTATACGGTTTTTGTGTATTATTATTAAGGGCGCAATAAACATTTTCCGATAGAAAAACCTTTTCATAAACAACAATATGATTACATAAATTGAAAAAAATTAAGAATAAGTTTAATTTGAACATCAATTGTTTGATGCGATTTATACTTGGTAATCTTCTTTCCCTTTTTGAGGTGCTTCTGTGTTGGAGGTTGTCTCGAGCACGATTGAGTGTCTTTATTATTTTCCCTTGTGCTCCAAGGGCTGTATTCGTTCTTCCAATTGTTGATGTGATGGTGTCCTTTGCAGTTTAATAGTATTTGCTGTTGCAGTGTTGTTAACTGTATAGCTGGTGTCATTTAGTTGTGTCGAATTGCAGACAGTTGGTGTCAGCGTATTTGGTTTTGGGGTTGTCTGCTTTGTTGGTTTCAGATGTGGTTGGTTGCACTTATTTGACCATTGTTGCGTTGATGAGCAGTGTTGGCAGGCTTGTTTCCTGCCTGAGATGGTTATTAGAATGTCGATTGTTTTGTCTTTGTAGTTTAATTTGATATAGAGTGGAATGTCTGTTGTTTTTTCTGCGTATATAGTTATTGTACGGTTGTTTGTTAGTGGGATGGTTTGAATTATGGGTTCTTTTAAACTGAAGGTATTAAGTGCCTTGGTGAGATTTTCATTGTTAATTGTAGGTGGGACCTATCAGTCGTTCGGTTCTTGTCGTAAACTGCGAAAATGAGACAGTATGGTCTGTAGGTCTTCGTTGTCATGTGCATCGTTGTAACATCGAAGGCATCGGAGCTGAAGAACCACGTGTGAGCTCTTCCGTAGTTGAGAAGTAAAATGGGTTTGTCGCTAATCATCTGCCTAATGACTTGGCCTTAAAGGTTTGGCAGAACTCTGCTATTGATAGTGACTTGCATCGTGTTGGCGTAGAAAAGATCCGGACAGCCATCCTTAGTCAGGTCTAAGGTGGCTGTTGTTCCTGAAAAG